TTTAAACAGCATTTTCTGCACAGATCCATTTGCTCGGCCCCGGCCCTAAGTGAGAGATGAAACAGTATTTCAGTGTGGTTCTGCTGCTCCTCCCGGAGCCTGTGTGGAATGTGCACCGAAATGTATTTGTAACTATACAGGACCGGGGCTCTAAAATGCGGTGTTTTGTTAAATGTTCATTTGCTGATTAAAATGCATCTTGCAAAGAAAGTGCATTACTAATGCAGAATCTAGTCCAAAAATACGTATTATGTAATGCACACTTGTTAATAATGCAGGCAATCTCGGTGTATCTGTATTAGTGGATCAGCTCGGGGCTGCCATCTCCATTATAGGCATAAAGCACTCCTTCTGAAAAACGAAGTACTTTCTTACGAACACTAAAGAATCATAATCCACCTCGTTGCTGATAGCTGGCATTCGTCTCCACTGAAAGGGCATTCACCAGCACCCACATATTCCTGATTTTCTTTTTCCAGTGTGCCTTGAAAAATCACTTCAATGATGTCTTTATGTTCCATGCACCGTCAGTGGGAATGGGCTAATTGAAAGAAATAAAGCAGGTGGGTCAATATGAGCAAACTTCCTGGATGAGGGCTGAGAGATAAGGATTTGAGATATGCAGCTCAAAACAGCCCGTCCGGTGTCCCATACTAATATCCCCATGATGACCTGGAACCAGGCACTTGTGATAATAAAACCCTTTCAGTGTCTCTGCAAAGTGTTTGATTCAGGCAACACTAGAATACAGACACTTGTCCTTTTATGGGGTTTGCCAAATCAATCCTACTTTATTAGACCCATTGGTATGTTAATTCTACAAAGGAACTCAAAGAACACAAGATGAAAGATAGACACAGCCAAGAAGCCCCGTCAGGAACATTCAAGAACGTCCACAGCCAAGATGTAGAAACAAAAAAACCTCAACACATCAAAGGCAGGAGTCTTGCTAAGGTCTAAACTCGGGATGTGACAGCTATACCTGGGCATGGTGTTAAAGGTATGAGGACCAGTTCCACCATGCTGAGTGGCAGCTGTAGGTACATGACTCTTTAGCCACCAAGAAGGGAGTACCAGGAGGGAAAGCCGGGTGGACGATCTCAAAAGGGAAAGCAGAATTACGAGAGGTCATGCCTTTCCAAATTTCCCCCATATGGACTCAAAGACAAAAAAAACCCCATGAGTCCCAAGTGGAGCAACTTTGTTGACACGTAGAAGGATTCTAGGACGATGGTGTGGCTCTGAATTACACTACCTTTGGACTTGTTGCTATGACAAAAGGGGCACTCCATACTTTAACAGGGAAGGCATCATGCACAACCCAGAAGCAGCAGTTCTGTTACAGATGGAACTCAAGAGCTTTCCAAGGGCCATGCTTTCCTGAGCAAAGATCACTCCAGGGACCCCTTCAGGAGGACATGGAGCTCATTTGATTTTCCAGGGCTGAGAAAGAGATGTCCTAATTTCCTCCAACCTTTTGGCCTCTGGGGTTCAACATGGTCTAGGGGTGTCTAGCCAAGTCATCTAACCCTAATGCTCTGATCGACCCAATAGCTTTCTCATGGAGCATTCAAGTCGGATTAAATATTGGTTGGCAAGGAGGGATTCTGAGTGGTTTAATGCTCTGATTAACAGCAGATTAGTCCTAAACAGGCTTTCCTTAATATAAGTTTTTTTTTTTTTTCTTAACTTTACCTTCAGCACCTGGAACAGAGCTTGGCATGTGCTAGGCACTCAATAAATAGCCCCGGAATGAGTTAGCGTTGTTGAAAAACTATCTATGTATTAAATGAAAGAGCTTTAAAAGGTACCCCGTGAGATTTCCTTGATAGCTGACCAGCCTGCAGCGCCCCACAGGGGCAGAGAACGGGGCTGTACCTACTGAATATCAGCGCAGGCAAGACTTCCCTTAACTAGTGGTTCCAGCTAATTAGAGTCTGTCTTCCAGCACATGTTCTCAGCTCGAGCTCATGGCAGTCCACTGATGGGTCTGTGGACTTGCAAACCATCACCCTGTCTGTGGGGCCCTTCCTAGGAAAGATGCTTATTTGACCATGAGGTAATTAGCCAATTGAGACTACAAGGGGGGGGGATTTTTCGGAAACGCTCTAATTACAGTCACTATAACAGATCTGCCAAAGGTGGTTTCATGATTAACGAGCGCCTGAGGTTACCAACCTCAAACTATTAAGCCCTTGGAAATCACCCGGGGCTGATCATTAATACCCACGCACAGACCCCTCATTTCATTCTGCCGAATATCTGCAATTTTGCGGTCTGGTTTTTAGCTTCATTTTAGCGATAACCCTGGAGTTGGGGAGGGGTATGGACCCCACGGAGAACCCATGCCCCGCTGCCCAACTACCCTAACCTGTGGCTAGCTCGCTCACTCGTTTTGCTCCTTGCCACCCGCCAGACCCCCGCCCCTTGCTTTGCCCAAATCCTTTCAAACAAGGTTCCCTCCTGCCACCTGCCGGCCCACTAGGGTCTGCGCCACGGGCTCGGCGCCACCGCGCAGCTCGCGGGGAGGCGCCCCCGCCTCCTTACTGCACATGCCCGGCAGAAGTCCGGGCGCGGAACTTTGCAGAACCTCTCCGCCGCGTCCCTCCCCGCCTCAGTCTCCTCTTTCCTCTCCCAGGCGAGAGGACCAGCGGAGGCACCTCTCCCGAGTCTTAGACTGCAGAGTCTGAGACTTAGAGAGAGGAGCCCAGGAGGAGGGAGACTTTTTCTCCCCATTTTCCCATCCCTTCTTCTTGCTCAGAGAGGCAAACAGGGGCGCGGAGCTTTAGAAAGTTGAGTGCCCAGGAAGGTAGGTGCTTTCCTTTTTCCCCCTCACACCGAGGTGGGGCTGGGACCTCCGGACCCAGCTTCTCACCTCGTGGGGTGCACCTTTTTCGGCTCTAGCAGCCAATGCGCATCGGAGCCGCTCTCTGCAGAGCCAGAGGGCGGGTGGTCTTCTCGGTGCGCGCCTAAGAGAATGGATCGTAGGTCCCGGGCTCAGCAGTGGCGCAGAGCTCGCCACAACTACAACGATCTGTGCCCACCCATCGGCCGCCGGGCAGCCACCGCGCTCCTCTGGCTCTCCTGCTCCATCGCGCTCCTCCGCGCCCTTGCCACCTCCAACGCCCGCGCCCAGCAGCGCGCGGCAGCCCAGCAGCGCCGGAGCTTCCTTAACGCCCACCACCGCTCCGCCGCCCAGGTATTCCCCGAGCCCCCCGAATCTGACCACGAGCACGAGGAGGGAGACCTCGAGCTGTCCCTCCCCGAGTGCCTAGAGTACGAGGAAGAGTTTGACTACGAATCTGAGACCGAGACCGAGACCGAGTCTGAAATCGAATCCGAGACCGACTTCGAGACCGAGCCTGAGACCGCCCCCGCCACAGAGCCCGAGACCGAGCCAGAAGACGAGCGCGGCCCCGTGGTGCCCAAGCACACCACCTTCGGCCAATCTCTCACCGAGCGTCTGCACGCTCTGAGATTGCGGAGCCCCGACGCCTCCCCGAGTCGCGCGCAGCCCAGCACCCAGGAGCCCCAGAACCCCAGCCAGGGGGAGGAGCCCAAGCCCGAGGACAAGGATCCGAGGGACCCCGAAGAGTCCGAGGAGCCAAAGGAGGAGAAGAAGCAGCAGCGCCGCTGCAAGCCGAAGAAGCCCACCCGCCGCGACCCATCCCCGGAGTCTCCTTCCAAAAGGGGACCCATCCCCATCCGGCGTCACTAATGGAGGACGCCGTCCAGATTCTCCTTGTTTTCTTTGATTCAGGTTAGTTGCCCGCCGCCAAACCTGGGAACCTGGGGTCGGCGCGGGAGCTGCGGGAGGAAGGGAGGGAAAAGGAAAGGCAGGTTAGGAGGAAGGCGGGGAGACAGTGGGCTCAGCTAGCCTGCCCGGGGAGGCCGGAGAGCCAGGGCGAGCTGGGGAAGGCTCCCGAGGACGCCGGGAGGACGTCGGGAGCGCCCAGGTGCCCAAGGGCTTGTTGGACGGCGGGGCGCTCCGCGCGCCCCGTTGGAGACAGCCTGAGGTCTTGGAGCTGGTGTCCAGGACGCGCGGCTGAACCCCCGGCGCGCCCCAGATTTCGAGCTGCACAACCAAAAGGTACGGGTAAATCACTTGTTTTACACGCTTTTTTCCCCCCTTAACACTAGACTCAAACCAGTTGGCTTTGGCAGGCGCCCGAAACGTGGTTCTAAGGTGCGCGCGCCAACTTTCACCATGAGAAAGGAGCCGCGCCGTAGCGACACTGTTGCAATGCGCGAAAAGTAATCACAATGGGATTGGGCGAGAACTCCGGAGGCTGCCGGCTCCGGGAAAAGTCGCGCGCGGCGCTTTAAGGCGCTCAAAGCCCGGAGCCCGGAGCCCAGGTCCCAGCGCTGCCAATTTGGAGCCGCGGGACCTCGGCGCCAGTGCTCCCCGCAGCTGTGCGCCAGGCCAGTCCTGGCCGCAGCCACCCGCCTCCAGGCGCGCACCGGGCCAAGCCCGCCGCAAAGAGCGTGCGCACCTGCCCGCGCGCTCCAGAGCCGACCTCTCCAGGCCCGCCGGCGGTTCCCCACGAGTCACGCGTACTTGGAGGGCTGGCAGAGAAGGTATGGGAGTCTTAGGGGGTGCCTCTACAGGCTACCAGGGTTGGTGGCGCGGGCTTGGTCACGTCGGGGCATCGCTAACGTTTTGGCGCCGCTGATCTGGCGGCAGGGCTGGGTGCAGCTTTGCTGGCGAGGTCTGGGCCGTTTGCGTAAGGCCCTGGGGATGGAAGAGAGGGGCTAAGAGGCCCGCGAGGCGGTGCCGAGCGCAAAGGTAAAGCGGCACACGAAACGGGGCTAGAGAGGGGATCGCGTCTTTCATCAGGATACCGTACAGTGCGTCCCTAAAGAGCGCGGCACCGCTGAGCTGGGGAAAGGTGTTGGATCCGACACAAGTCCTTGGGTGATCGGTCGAGAGGGGGCAGGGGCTGGCGGCTTGGGCAGCCTCGGGGAGGGGAGGCGGCGCACCGGCCATTTTCAGCTCGGCTGGAGCTAAGTTTGGAATCTCTAACCTGGAGGTGAAACCGGCCTGTTGTCAGAGGACAAAAACGGCTGCAGTCTCGTAACGCATCTTCGGTTCGGTGCATAAAGTGTGCCTTACTCGCCAACCCTGGAGGAAAAGACTGAGAAGTGAAATATATTTTACAAAACCTCACCCAGTATGGAAACTGATCTTTTCTTGGTGCGCGCGCGTCTTGGTTTGCGCCGGTTTGAGCTAGTCTGATGAAAATGATGGGGGTGGGGGAGTGACGCGTTCTGAGGCTTGAAATGAAAAGACCGGTCGGGTTTATAGACTCTTAAGAAAAGGGGAAGCCGGAAGGAACGCTTTCCACGGTCTTCCTTCCAGGTCTCTTCCCTAGGAAGGGCGTCGCGCTGCCCCGAACTTAGTTCTGCGGGCTGCGGCGCTGACGAAGGACTGTTGGATGCCTTTACCGTCTTAACTAGGAAGTACCGGGAAGGCACTTTGTGCACAGGGGGCTTCCTTGGGCAGCGGGCAAGTGTCAGAAGTCTGGAGGCCGCCGAGGACTTGCAGAAGGGCCAGGTGTGCCCTGCCTTTGGCTTAAACGTGTGAGATTGCCTATGTGAGATGGCGCTCCCCAAAGTTGAAATTTCTACTCCACCTAAATAGAGATGCTGGGGGGTTCCTTTCAGTGGCATTAAGTGTTGTTTTTCCTCTGGCATCGTCTTAGCAGCCCGAGTTCACCAAGTAAAGTGTGTCTAGTGAGTGTGCAACAGAAGCCAGGGTTTGGGTTGCCTTGTTCTGGTGTACTTTTCAGTGTGGGAGCTCTCTTCCCAGATTGGGTAGTCTGGGGGCCCCATTTTCTGCAGAGCTAGGTTTTCCATTAGAGAAGTTAGCATGTTGCCTTGTTGCAGAAAGAATAAACAAGTCTTTAAAGAAGTCCTCAGTGCCTAAGCACACACTGTTCACGCCAATCTTCGTCCGTTTTTAAACAAGCCTGCATGTTGGGAAGCTTGCTTTAACTGTAAGCAATAGACCAAGCTCATTAACGGGGAGGGGGGGCCCCCATCTAAGAACACACACAAATAGTTTGCCCTCTTTCAGACATACTCTTCCCTGTAAACTACCTCTGACTGTCAAAGTCTGTCGCCCACCCCCCCCAGTTCCCTTCCCCCACCCTACGCCCCCCCACCCCCACTGCAGGGTAGAAAAGCCATTAGGGACTACACAGAACAACTGAGGAAAATGCCAAACTCCTAGGAAGTGCCGCAGAGCCGCCAGAGGAAGGCATTCTGCTGTAGAGACATTTCAAACCCTCTTTCTACCTGAGACACTGGTGCTTCACTGCCTACCCCCACCCCACCCCAGGCATTTCTGGCAAGTTCTCCCGAGCATTCCCAACTCACTAGTCTCCAAACTGGCCCTTTGTCTCACCCTGCTAAATTGGGGTTAGCATTTGAATGGGCTCACTTGCCCTTTCAATTTAGGTGGGGTGTGTCTGGTGAGGAAATTGGCTCAAAAAAAAACCAGACCTTCTAATTGACCACAGAAGTAAATTACTGGCTGGTTGTAGTATCTCACATGGAGAGGGGGAGGAGAATAAAGCTAGTTAAAGGTGAGGGTTTGCTCTGGCATTTAGGATTTTCCTTTACTACATTAATCATTTACTTACTAGAAATTGGCTTTTTCTTGGACAAAGGTCCTCTTACAACTGAACTTTCTGAGTGGGAAAGTGATAGCGTGTTCACATATCGTGTGCTGTCAACCAGCTGGCACAGGTTTACTTCTCAAGTTTGGCAAACAAAATTTTTATGTTTATCAGAATTCAAAAACTGGGAATTTTAAAATTTGGAACTGTTTTAAGAGGATGTTTCTTTAATGCGCCGGAGGCTGCCCCCCCCCGCCCCGGAAACTGCTTACAGCCCTTTACTCTTTAGCCCTCACTTTTAGCAGCTGGGATAGAAGATTTCATGAGGAAGCTGAAACTTCAGTGTGGGTAAGAATGAGGTCTTTTCCTTTGCTTTAATAATCTGAATGGATTTTACTTAATTTACCTGTGTTATCACTGCTCCTTACGCAGAGGGAAGCTATTGAGGGGAAACTGAGCAGAAACCATGGTGTTGGCGAATGTATCTTAACAGAAAGGTGACCTGTAACAAAAAAACAAATTACTAAAATCAAATTAAGCTTCCAGAGGCGAGTGATGTCATACGCCAGCTCCAGTGCTGCCCTTCTCTTAGAAATTGCCCAGCAAAGGGGATGAGATCCTCAAATTACATCTTTAATCCCCATGTTCCAGGATGAGGGGTGGAATTCCTCGTCCTGCTTTTCGGGGTTTTGACACTAATGACCGTTTCCTAAATCTGGATGCCCCAGGGATGGACAGCAAGACCTAAGCATCTTCTAGGCCTTGTCCCGCCCAGTGGCCTTGGGTCAGACCCAGCACCCCACTGCCTCTTTCTTCACATGCAAAATGAAGTATGTTCCTAGCATCCCCTCAGCGCCAAATGTGTGCAGGTTGTTAAGCCCAGGCTTGCCCAATTTGACTTTATCCATGATTTTAACACTAATGGGGCCAAAAAATGTGCAAGGTTGATCAAATAAAACACCAGTTGTGAAGAAATCTGGTTTTTGTTGCTCTGATTTCGATTTTATCCAGTCTGTTTTTGAATGGGTGGCCAAAAAAAAAAAAAAAAAAGGTTTAAAAAGGCAAGTTAGAGAATACAGAATCCCACTGTGTCTCGTTACTAGCCGTCCTTCAGAACAGATCTTTAGCGTGTGTCTTCTGTGTGCTTGTTTCCCCACCTGCTCTCCCTGATCTTGGTGTGTGAAAACAAGCTTTTCCGAGTGGGAGCAGGCAGCCGGAAGCCAGCATTGCACCGAGTACTGCAGCCTGGAAACGCTCACTGCTCTGAGTGCAGTCTGACGGCGGTGGCTAACTGACCACAAGTGTTGAATATATTATTTGGTAACACTTAGAAGGCTCTTGATCAGGCCAGACCCGCAAACACGCTCAGAGGCTGCAGCTAGTTAGGATAAACCAGTCTCCTCAGCCTTTGTGTTTGTTTTTATTATCCTTCTCTCCCAGGAGCTTTTTCAGACTTTTTTTTTTGTTGTTAATTGCTCCTCTCCCATGAAATTTTAATACCACAGTTATACAGATGTATTGGATATTCTGTTTCTGTACTGCGAGACCTTGTAATAGCTAAGTTGTTGTGTTTTTTGGGTTTTGGGTCTTGTTTGTTTTTTTTTCCATTTCCCCCTAAACCAGTCTTCCCCTGTGGCAAATGCCTGGGATAACAAAGCAAATGTTTAAAAAAAAAAAAAAAAAAGTCAAATTAATGATTTGAGATCCCATTTTTGTTTTTTATTTTTGGTTTTTTGGCTACATGTCACAAGGCTATATATAAGGTAAACTTTACTAATGTTTGGTTTTCGCTTTTCTTTTCATTTCACCCCCCAGCCCCTGGCACAGATCCTGGTGCTAGTGCCCAACTAATTCAGGGCAAGGCAGCCAGTCTGCAGTGCAGGGCCACCATCACCTGTTGACAGGGCTCAGCCAGTCACGGCAGGACACCCAAGAGGAGCCGGCGCCACAGCACCCCACACCGTCCCCCCCCCCCCACTTGCCGGCACAGTCCCTGTTGCATGGTAGAATTGGGGAGGCTACTTTCCTGGCTTTGCCTGTGGACGTGGCCTATTTTTATTCTATGAGCTTATTTTAGGGTGAGCATGCTGCAAATTAACAGGGGGCCACGGCTGTCAGAAATGTCCGGGGTACGACTAGACTGCGTGAACAGATGGGAAGGGGTGTCCATGATGTACAGGAAGGTTTCGGGGGGAAATCACAGAAAAAACTGGAAGGCCAAGACAACACTGGGGAAGGAACAGAAGATAAGATCTGGAGATAGGAAGTCACAGCCCATACATGCTAGGGCTAGGAAGAGTCGTATGAAGAAACAAGGAGATTCACGGAGAAAAAGGTTTAGGGGAGACTTCACGGCCATCTGCAAAAATCTGGTGGCAGCAGAAGCAATGTCAGGAAGAACATTTCTAATAGCCACACCTGGCGGTGGAGGCACGCAGAAGGTCACTTTCCCTCAGAGGGTCTCTACAGACCTGGCCAGAAATTTGAATTTTCTAGGTGCGGTGGGATTTTTGTACGTGTGCCTCAATTGCTTCAACCAGATGGAAAGATTTAAAACCTAGGAAATCTTGTTTTAGAGTTCAAATGCTCAATCTTGGATTTCAGTTCAGGGAGAGGCCCCACATCTCAAACTGGCCAAGGACTGCCGCCAGCTGAAGATGACCTGTTTCTCCTCCCCCCAGGCGAGAGCCGGTTCTGAGTGCCCTGGCTTATGTTGCTGTCTCCATTCCAGCTCAGGGAGGATGCATTCTGGGAAATTGAGGCCATGCACAAACATGAAATATACCACTCCCCTAACATTCAAATTACGGTGCCTGGAATAGCCACCATGATTACTGAAATTTTAAGCAGAGCTTCCACTGAAGCCAAGTTTATCCTCAGGGACCCCCTCCTGCCCTCCTAGCCCTCACTCTTACCCCTCTCTCAGCCCCCTTCCCAGGGCACCATTCATCTTTTCGGGAATGGCCACTTCCCCCCTCCAGATTCTGGGCTGCATCATCAGCTAGCCTGGAGAAGGAGTCCACAGCCCAGTTCAAGCGACCGCTGAGTGTGTGGACCCACCGTACCGGCACGGGTAGAGGACAGTCGTGTGCCTGGCTGCAGCAGAAATGAGTAGCCCTTCCAAGTTGAGGGCTGCTGAGTTTAGCTCGTGAGCTGAATGAAGGGGTCTGAATTCCTGATAGGAGACCCTTGGCCCCTGCGGCTCCAGCTCAGGGCTTTTTAATCTGAGCACATCAAGTATTTTCCTAAGTCTGGTTCCGACTTTCTTTAATATCAGCCCTGCACCTGCTCCTAACCTCCGTTTGAGGCATTTTCTCTGGAGCTGGCGTCTGCCTGAGACAGCCTGGTCACGCAGGCCCTTCTGCAGACAGCAGTAGGCTGCTGCTGCCTCCCCCGGCCAAGGCTGGAAGGGAGGAGGATGGGCACAGCACGTCTGGATTGAACAGTAATTAACTGAACAGCTTCAAAGTCTTACGGCCGCTCAGCACACACAGAAAACGTGTCACTGGGAGCCTGAGAAACGGGACAGTTGTCTCAGTTCTCTTCCCCAGGTTCTCTCCTTTCTACTTTGGCTTTTTTCCTCACAACTGGTGAAAAGATTCTCCTTTTCCTCATTTGAGAGAGCGCCGAATCCTAACCACTAGACCACCAGGGAAGTTTCCTTTTCCTCATTTGAAAGAAAGCCACTGACAACAGGGACAGAGGTGGTCTGCAGAGACTGCTCCTCTGCAAGAGCCTGCCCCCCCCCCGCCCCCCGGCCCCAAGCCATAGGCTAGGGGGAAATCCCACTGCCAAAAAAAAGCACACACACAAAAAACTTTTTCCTGGTTTCTGCTCCCTTCCCTCTCTACCACCTCCTTCCCTGTCTGCTTTGCTTTCTCTTTCTCGGATACAGGGATGAACTAAGAAAGAAGGTTGACAGGCAGCTACTTAAAACTTGGATGTGCCTTGTGCTTTTGGCAATGAGTAAGAATCCCCAAATGTAAGCATCCTAACAGCCGTCTGCTGACTATAGTGTGCGCTCGTGGGGAGGTGTCAGTACAGCAGGATGATTGAGTTTGGGGAGCCTAGGGCGCCACATGGGGTCGCCAAGGAAGGGGGCCATGTCCCTGCAGATGGCAGCGGTGCTGCTCAGAGAGCCAACAGTGAAGAAATACGTTCTTTCCATTGGGGGTTGCTCGTGTACAGAAAGCCAGCCGATATTCCACCTGAGGCACTCGGGCCGTTTGGTGAACAGGCTGACTTGCCTCAGAAATGCAGTTTAACTGAAACATGAGCAGTGTTTGCTGTTCCTTTCTTAATTCATCAGGTGTAGAAAATCTAGTCTTTTTAAGTAGCTGAGGACACACAACTTCCCAGAAACCTTTGCCTGGATTTTGACAGCCAATCCTTTCCTTCTCTGATGGATGCACCATCTCACCGCATTCCCTGTGGGAACAGGGCCCAGACCCTGGCACGCAGCTTCTGTCCCCCACCCCAGCTCCCCGGCGCCCTGATGAGCCTCTCTTGCCTTCCTCTTTGTGATCTGTGTGAACTCACTCACTGACTTTCCTTCCTTGTTCCTGCTTATTCCTACCAAGTACTGACTGCTTTTCCTGAGAGAGACCCATCCGGAACTGGAAATCTGGACTCGGCTGCACACCACCACCTGTAACTGGCCATCTCCATCCAGGGCAAGGCCACATTTCTGTCTTGAGCCAGAAAGCTCACCAGACAGCCCCACCAATCACAGCGGGCCCCAGTCAACCCACCCGCTGTCGCCCCCAGGGCTTACCACAGCGAGTTCCTCAGGTCCCTGTGACCAGGCACACCAGCTGCCTTTCACGTCAGCCAGCTCCTCAAACATCTGGCCGTACTTCTGAGGTGTCTCGGGTCCCACTCTGTTCTGTGACGGTTTCAGCTTTGAACCCCCTCACAAAAGTGATGGGATTTTCAGACTCTGGCAGCCAATCCCTACAGGAGGAAAAAAAAAAAAAAAAAAAAGTAGACACAATGGGGAACATTGGAGTTAAATAGTGGGATTTTTTTCTTCCCAGTCCTAATTTACCTTTAAATTAAGGTGATTCCTACTCAAGTCTAAGGGTCTTTCTCAGCCTGCGGCAGTGGTTTCATCCGGGGGTGATTTTGCCCCCCAGAGGACATTTGGCAAAGTCTACAGACATTTTTTGGTTGCTACAACTAAGGGGCTGCTACTGGCATCTAGTGGGTAGAGGCCAGGGATGCTGCTAACGCCCTACAGTGCCCAGGACAGTCCACAGCAGAGAGGCAGCTAGCCCCGATGTGAACAGTGTAGAGGCTAAGAAGCCACAGTCTCCATTAGATACTCTGAGCGCCTCTTAGAGTCTCCCCTCCGGCATGCTCCCACCAGTCCCTTCTGAGCCCACTGCTCGCTCCCGAGACATCGTTCCTTTTCCTCTCCCGTGCTCCAAGTGTTCAAGATTCTCCAGATATATTCCTCCCCTCCAGGGTAGTCTCTGATCCACTCATTTCATACCCTATAAGGACGGCTGTCACTTTGAACTTGGGGTCTTTACCTTCCTTCTAAACTGCAGACCCACCCTCTTAAATAATAGGCTGTACAACACTGCATCCCGACTGCCCATCCTTCCTTCACCTCTGCCAAGTCTAAAACCAAATTGGCTCTGCCACCACCACAACGCCGCCCCAGATCCTCTGGACTTCCTGTGTCACTTGTGCCCCATCATCCAGGTGCCAGACTTTGGCTTCTCCACCTTTTGTGCCTTTCTGGCACAGAAGAGGCTAGAGGGCCCTTTGAGATCCCTCCTGAGTCCCTTCCTTCAGCCTTCCTGCTACCTTAGAGGTCGTGACCGGCCACAGCTTCCGGTATTCTCTCCATCAGGGCCATCCCCCCACACTGCCTCCATCTTTACTAAAGTAAACTAGGCTCAAACCCTCCTTGCGGGACAAGAAGCATTCCACATCTGCTCTATTTCCTACCAGAACAACCTCAAAAGTGCTTGCCCTTTAGTTTCCAACCCTCCGCAGAGAGATCCTATCGGTTTGTCCTGCTTTCGCCCTCACTGCCCCTCCTCAGACTCCACACGGTGTCCCTTGCTTCCCCCCACTGGGTCTTGTTAAGGGTAGGCCCACATCTCCCATTCCTCCGATTCCCGGCATTGGTAAGCAGGGGCCCTACCCATCCATGCAGGCCCATCTGAAACGCTATTTTCCCCATCAAGACTTTCAGGGTCCCCCACCCCAACCCCAGGAGGGGGTCTTTCTTTCATTTTTATGTTACTTATCCTTTAGGATGGAGGACCGGTATCTACCCAGCCGTTATCCCCTCAACAGTTGTGCTCTCCAGGCAAAGGACCAAGATACCAAAGAGTGTTGAACAAAGGGGTCCCACATGCCCATGAGGATGTCAAACAAAGAGACCTTGTACCCATTCCTTGATGGACAGTGCTTGGGGACAGAGTCCAAGCGTAGTAGGCAAACCGTCCCTTTGGGGCTCCAGACCCCAGCGTCTACTGACCTTCTAGCTCGGCAGGGCGCAGCATCCCTGGGGCCTCAACGCCTTATCCGTCTGGGGCTGCTCCTCTGCATCGGGGCAGTAAGCCCTCTCTCTCCTCGGGGCCCTGGCTCTCTCTACCTCCAGGCCCTAGACATTGTCTTCCTCCTCGCCTGGCCTCAGCGGCGGTCCCCTTGGTCCGGTGGGTTTGCCCACCGCCACCAGCGACACCTAGGGTTGAGCCCTGACAGCCCCCGACCTTCCCTTCCAGCCTTGATGACTTGTGGCTTCAGGAAGAGTGACCCCACGGCGCCAGCGGGCCTCGTGGCGTTCCAGGCCTGCCCGCCATACGCCCGCCCACCAGCAGCTTCCAACTACCCCAGCAGCACAACCTCTTAGGGCGTTCCAACGCGGCGCCCCCTATTGGACCTCCCATTCATATCCGGTTTCCGGTCCGACGCCCCCTGCTCATTCGCCAGGCAACCTTGATTGGCGTGACCCCAGCCCAATAGCTGACCCAGCCCTGGGGTCGGAGGGGAGTGAGTTGACGGTCGCGACCCAGTTGGCCCATTCAGTGGATGCTCAAATGGTTGAGCCGTTGCGCGTGGGAACAGTTGGACAAAGTTTGGGCCAAAGTTCAGTGTTGGCATTTCCAAGTGTGTAGACCCATGGACCTGACATGATACGCCTTTGGGGGGCCCCACACGTTGCCCAGAGTCCGACTTTGTCCGCTTTCCTCTGCAGCATGGCCACGTGGATGGTGGATGCGGGGCAATGATGCGCCGTGGCTGTGGTCCCATCGTTCTAAGAGGGATGCGTTAGACTTAACGAGATTGAACGGTGCGTGGTTCACCCGCCTGAGGCTCGTAGATACAGCGATCCAAGCGGTGCTCCCGCTCGCCGCAGCCCACCCCTTGTGGCGCTCATCCCGCCATCTCTCTTCTCCTCCGCCCACCAGGCGACCACCTGCCTCGTGCCCGGATGCCTTGCACCTAAAGGTCGCTTGCAGGTCCGTGTCACCCGCTGGCGAGACAGACCTCATGCCCATGTCCCCGGTCGTACGTGACCCGCAAGCCGCAATTTTTTCCCGCGGCTCAAATCCCTCCGCAGACCCCAGACCCCAGACCCAGAGCAGTGCGCGTGCACGCACCAAGCCCACCCAGGCGGTGCGGGTATTTTCCGCAGCCGGCTCCAAGCCCCCACGAGCTTCGGTGACGGGAGCGCAGCCAGGAGACCGCTGGACTTCTGGCCGGGCTCAGTGCCGCCTCAGAGGGCTTTAGCAGTGGAAAAGTGAAGCAGCTGCCCTGGGATACCCATAGCGAAAGAAGAGGGGCTGGAAGGGGGCTGGTGGGGGACTTGTGAGGAACTGGGGCTGCTGACCGACCGACCATGCAGCCGGCACCCGAGGCAGATAAGCGGCACATTATAGCCACTGCTGCCGACGCGGCACGGTGTGTGTCTTTGGGTTCAGTGCGCACAGGCTTGTCCAGTCTCAGAGACCACACTAAGCCGGCCATAAATTCCCAACTGAAATCCCCTTAGCCCTTCCCCAGAACAGTAGGACCCCCGGAACTCTGAGGCCTGCACTGGATGGGGTCTCCGTGTGTGTCCCACGCCGCCCCCGTTTGGTGCCGCGGCAACTACCGCTTGGAGGGTCTCCGTAGAACGCGCCCAAGACCCTCTTAATTCCCCTACATCATTATCCACATAAACGGGGGAAACACTTGCCTGCGCCACCCTCAGCTACTGCGAGGACCCCCCAGGGTGTGGTGGGGATGGGGGACATTGAAGTGCTTTACGGGAGCCAGTCTCGGCAAGCCGGCAAACAAAAGCTGCAGAAGCGGCAGAAAGTACCCCAGGGCATTTTAAAAAGAAATTATGTGCGCACACACGGCAGCCCCTCGCCCCTAGCCTCCTATCCGCTCCGCCGGTGGGCTCACGACCACCTGTCGCATCCCCGCGCGCGCCCGCGCCCCCTTCCCACGCGCCCGAAGCCTTGCACTCCGGACTTGGAGCTTAAGATGGGAGGCTGCCCAGGTCTGGGGCCTGCGGCTCAAGGGTTCAGGGGTATCCTGGGGTGATGAAACCCTCCTGCAGTTCCCCCCTCCCCCCTGAGGAGAGTCATTTGGGTTTGGGAGGGAGGGTTTCAGCTCTTGCGCTCAAGCAGCCCGGGGCCCACGTCTTGCATCACGTGTCCCACAACGCAGGAGAGCTCTCTCTCTCTCTCTGGCCAGGGGATAAGAGAGGAGAAAGACTCCAAATCAGTCAGGGAGAGGACTGGAAGGAGCCAAAACATCCCTGCGAGGCCTGCGCTCATCAGCCCCCTTACCCAAAGTCCGGGGCTGCCGGCGCCAGGATCCGGCTCCCGGAGCCGCCTCAGCACCGAGGCCGGCGTCCTCTGGTGGCAAAGAGTGAGCACTACGAGCGATTTTCGGACCGAATCGGCACGCTCCTCAGATCCAAGCAGGCGGGGCTGGCCTGGAGCAGAGAGAAAGAGAGAAAGAGAGAGAGAGGAGGGGACAAGGGCAGGCCAAGGGGGGGGGGGGGGCCGGGGGCAGCCTGAGGGGATAAAAAGTGGCCAGGAAGGAGCCAAGACTCCACCAGCAACAATAGAGTTGCTTCCACCACGGTCTTGGGTTTGAGGCCCTGAACCCCCAGACCTCAAGAGGGCTGGAAAGTGAGGTTGGAGAACTTTCTGGCTGGTACTTTGAATTTTTTTGAAAAAATTTTTTTCACCCTAGTTCGGTTGGGTGCTCCGTCTTACGGGGCCCCAAGTTTATTTTAAGAGTCCGCCACCGTGTTATGGGCGTGCGCAACTGCCTCGACGGCAATAATATGTCAGGACAACGCGATATCCCCCTTGAACTCGGGGAGCAGCCCGAGCAACCATCTTTGGAGGCCCCAGGGGCAGCTGCCCCCAGTTCTGGGCCTGGCGCAGCCGAAGAGATGGAGACCGAACCGCCTCACAGCGAGCCCGTCCCCATCGAGAGTGAAGGCGAGGCCTGTGGACCCCCAGAGGTCTCCAGGCCCAACTTGCAGGACCTGGGCCAGGCCATCGAGGAAGCCGGAGCCCATGGAGGCTACAGCCCACCTCCTGAGGAAGCCATGCCCTTCGAGGTCGAGCAGCCCAACTCAGGAGGCTTCTGGCCTACCCCGGAGCAGCCTGGAGACACCACTGGGGCCCGTGCAGGCCTTGAGGTCTTCAGCCAGGCGCTCATGGAGCCCGGAGCCTTCGGTGATGCCGGACCAGGCCTGGGAGGCTACAGCCCTCCACCCGAAGAAGCCATGCCCTTTGAGTTTGAGCAGCCTGCCCAGGGAGGTGGCAACCAGCCTGTCTTGCAGGTCTCAGACCTCGCTCCGGGAGGCCCAGGTGCGGGGGTCTTTAGCACTCCTCCGCAGGAGCCCCAAGCTCTCAGACCTGCAAACGCAGGCTTCAGAGGAGACCATAGCCCTCCCCCTGAGGAGGCTATGCCATTTGAGTTTGATGGAGCAGCCTTTGGGGACGACAGCCCACCCCCTGGGCTCCCCCGAGCTATTCCACAAATCGACGGCGGCAGCGGCGGCCAGTCCGCGGCACCCGCGGTCCCGAGTGCGGTCCTCCTCGCTCCCGCCGCGAACGAGCCCCCCCTCTGGGTCCCAGGCGCCATCGGCAGCCCATCCCGAGAGGCTGTCAGATCTCCTCCACACTTCGCGGGCGACAGCCCCCCGATGGAGATCTCCGGACCCCCGCTCGAGATTGGCAGCGCCCCCGTTGGGGTCGACGACGCTCCCGTCAACATGGACAGCCCCCCAATCGCGCTTGACGGCCCGCCCATCGAGGTCTCCCGAGCCCCAGTTAAGAGAGAGCGAGCAGAGGGAGAGAGACCCCCAGTTGAGGAAGAAGCAGCCGAGATGGAAGGAGGCTCAGCCGCCGCTGTTGCGGAGGGAGGAAAAGTCCCCTCTCCGGGGGACCGAGCCCCTGACGCCGGGGCCAAGCCTGCTTCTCCAGCCGCCGGGGCAGCCGCTGCCGCCCCTGATGCTCCAGCCGCCGGGGCAGCCGCTGCCGCCCCTGACGCTCCAGCCGCCGGGGCAGCTCCAGCCGCCGGGGCAGCCCCAGCCGCCCCTGACGCTCCAGCCGCCCCTGACGCTCCAGCCGCCGGGGCAGCTGCTCCAGCCGCCCGGGCAGCCCCTGCCGCCCCTGCGTCTGGAGCCCGACCCAAGCTCCGCTTCCTTAGACCCCCCAGCCCCGAGATCCAGGCTGCCGATCCGCCTACTCCGCAGCCTCCTCGCGCGTTTGCCTGGCGGGGCAGGTCTGGCCGCAGCCGCGACGACGATGAGGGGTCGGTCAGCAGCGACGACGACCACAGCAGCGATGAGTCCGACGATGGGACCTCCGGATGCCGCCGCTGGCTGCAGCCCCGGCGAAATCGCCGCCGCCGAAAGCCCCGGCGCAACTTGCTCCGCAACTTCCTCATGCAGGCCTTCGGGGGCTGCTTCGGCCGATCTGAGAGCCCCCAGCCCAAAGCCTCGCACAGCCCCAAGGTCAAGAAGATTCCTCTGGCGGAGAAGCGCAGACAGATGCGCAAGGAAGCCCTGGAGAAGCGCGCCCAGAAGCGCGCAGAGAAGAAACGCAGCAAGCTCATCGACAAACAACTCCAGGAGGAAAAGATGGGGTACATGTGTACGCACCGCCTGCTGCTTCTAGGTAATGCGGCGGACTCTGCCCGCGGGGAGCAGGGCCGCCGGGGGACCCCGGGAGGGGGTGGCAGGGCTGCCCGGTGGAGCTCAGGGCCTGGCAGCGGGAGGAGGGGGTCCAGGCCGAGGCGGGAAGAGACTGCTAGAAAGTTCCAGTGAGGGGCCCTAACTTTGCCCTGGGAGCGGGAGGGGGCCTCGGTTGGGCTTGGGTGGCCGAAGTATGTGCCCTCCAGGGAGAAAAGTGGTGCCGAGCAACACTGAGGGTCGTTTCCGGCTGGACAAGCCAGCGCCAGCGACCGTAAGATGCCCCCGAGTCCTGGGGTGGGGGCCGGCAAGAAAGGCGGGGGCTTCAGGTGAGCCAGGAACTGCCGGGGAGGGGCCCCGGGGTTCCCCAGGCTAGGCCGGTTGGGGCCGTGGTGGGCTGGGGTCGTTGGGGAAGGTGCGCCCCCGCCTCGCCTGGCACTGCTGCTTGGACTCAGACAGCTTGTCGTTGGTGTGTGTTGGTGTCCATATTGTGTCCGCCTGTGCATGATATGCTCAAGTGTCCCCCAATTCCCATCCCTGGCACCCCCAGATTACCCGCCGACTGTGTACTCGTACTGGGGAACGGGCTGTCTTGTGTTTTGCGCCATGGCGCGGGCAAAAACTTTCCGTGTTTGCACACTCTGGTGGTACCTGGACGCTGGCGCTCTGCAGCGGGCGGCGCGAAAAATGCGGAGGAGAAGCTGGTGGGACATCTTGGGGAGTGTGTCGGGCCACTGGCGCGGGAGAGAGGGGGCCGCCTCTCGCTGGCCTCCATAACCTTTTTTCTGTATGTCTTTCTCTCTTTTTTCCCTTTGCGCTAAGCGTTTCCTCACTTCTCATTCGTTCGCCAAACCCTCCCGCCTTTACGGTTGAAAAACCAGACACTCAGGTATCTGGGGCGTCGGGGCTACACACATAAAGTTCAGTATTCTGCACACACTCAGCTCACCTGGTGGGGGGATGGAGGGAGGAGGGGGGGGAAAACCCACTTAATCTGCTACAGGCAGGTCTGGATCTAAACCTACACGGGACTGGGTCCAAGAGGGTGGGCGTGGCTGTGTTTAAAAAATATGAAATAATTTTTTTCCTAGGGAAGAGCCCGAGGTAAGCCAATCATTTACACTTTTACAAAGAGTACAGTAGGAGGGGCTTGGTTTAAAAAAGACTGTTATGCGTTGGGAGTGGAATGCTGTCTTGTCTTCGAAATGCAATTAAAATAAAAAATTTTAAAAATGTTTCCAGTGTATTTTAAGTATATGGACGATATGTGGTAAAACTGTGACTATGACTTGTGAAATATGTAAATGTTTGCATGTGAATCTTTTCAAGCAGCTTTAGCTGGGGGCAGAGAGGATCAAAGGTAAGATCCTCTGCGAATGGACTTGGGATACCAAGAAATTAAAAAGGTCTTGTGTTCATAACCACATCGGGTACGTTTGGTGGCCCTCCGCCTTCCCCTCCTTCTCTCTTCATCTTTCCCACCTTTCAGGGTCCCCTCGCCCCTCTAGGACTCTCCCACACACACACAACAAGTCCCTCCCCCCCATCTCCCCACCTCTGTGGCTCTTCCCACACCCCCCACTTCCCCTCCTCCAGCCTCCCCTTGGCTCCCAGCTGAGGTGCTGGCTCCTTGTGCCACAGTCCATCAGAGCAATTAGCAAGGGTCTGACTGTGGCTTGAATGAAAATTTCAAAAGTGAAGCTCCACAGTCTTAATTTCTTTATTTTATTCTTTAAGACCTTTCAAGGGATTTAAAGATCACAATTTCTAAAGCTGGGCTACATTTGTTGGTGAAATATTTTATAATGTGTGATGCTTTTTAGTAATGACATGGACAGTAACTATTGGCTTCTGTGACATGTGTGTCTTTCACAAATCACAGTTTTAAACACTGTGGTCATTTTAGTGCCACCCACCCAGGGAAATAATGATGTCGTCATTTTCTCAATCACATATAGAAGGGATGCAGTTTTAAATTTGGGATGTCCCAACCGTACTGATAGCCAGAGCCTTAGATGACAACACGCTGTTCTCCCGCAGACAACTAGTTTTGCCATAACAGTCCCATTTCAATATTCTGAGCTTAGCTCTGGGAAGCTGGCCTCTGATGGGGAGGGGACACACGTGGGTACAGACAGGAAGCCAGGTGACAGTGTCCACTTGGCCCCTAGTTGGCAGTGTCCCTTACTTGCCGGGTCCTCTATTCTGGGGGGGTTGGGGTGGAAAGCACAGTCCACTTAAATCAGGACTGGAGGCTTAAAACCATAGATTATGCCCACCCTGCAGCAAACTGTCAGTCCATGTCTGGGGCCAAGCCTTAAGAATATTAGAAGTTTACCTTGCTCACCCATGTTTTGTATCCAGGGTGCAAAATTAACCTTAATAAAAGGAAATTTGCTGGGGTCATCCCACAGTGGTCCTGACTCTGCTCTCAGGGAGTCAGCTGGTCAAGAAGACCAAACCCCAGGCTACGTCAGACACGAGCCTGAACTAGGACAGCCGGTGTTACCTGCTGCCATAATGCGGTTTGTCGAAACGGCTCATTTCTGACCAGCCTTCATTTGGCCAAAGTGACAAGAGCGGTACCCCATCGGGGTCTCAGTTACTGATTGGGGGAGAGAGGGCAGGAAGGAAGGATGAGGACTTATATTTAGGACAAGACCTCTTACTAACAGTCTAATTCTAACATAAAACAAGACATCCATATATTCCTACCACTGAAAATGCAGGTCAAAAGAGCATCCTTCCATATGGTTATGAATTTGTGACATGCACACTCATCTGTTGCTTTACAACTGTGTGTGTTTGTGTGTATATACTGTTTCCATTTTTATTGCCCAGTTTAACCATATTAGAGGGAATTTTTTTAAAGGAGATAGATAATCAATAACATGACAAATTCTAGAATATGTAAGAGATGAAGGCTTTTTTTATTTGACTATTCAGTAATAGACTATTTCCATGTTTTTGGAAACCCACTTTGGGTATGAGTCCCCCGTTTTTTTAAGACTTGAAGGGGCATGTAGATTAGAATTTTTTAGTATCTGCTACATTTCATAAAAGTGTGCAGGCAAATGCTATAGATGATAATGGCCATCCTGTCATGACACTTTATTTATACAGTGAGTCTCGGTTAATTGTATGATAATTTATTTATGCCACCAGGTACAACAGTGATGCATTGCATCCCATCATGCAGAGGGCCTTTTTTTTTTTTTTTTTCCCTCCTCTTCTTCTTTAGTACAGCCATTTTTCCTTATTCGGAATGCCTCCACTGAGCTTTTTGGTGCAGTGGGGAGGGCATAGCTTATCAGGCCACCAAATCTTTAGAATTAAGAGACTTTTGTGATTTTCCCTATCTGTCTCCCCAGTGGTATTTTATGCCTCTCGAAGGCCAAAACTCTTTACTGCCTCTTAAAATACAATTTCCCATAGATTTGTCTCCAAAAAAATGTTTTCTATACAAGTAGGTTCATTTTTGTAATTTGCCCACATTATGTCTATCATGGGAAATTGATATTAGGCAAAGAAAAGTGTGTCCCTGGGCTTTTTGCACACCCCCTCCTGACTTGAAAGGGATAGCCTCCCTGCCTTCAGGTATTAGTAACCAGTAATAGTAATGATCACGCATAATGATACCACATTCTTATTGTATTTTTAAAAAAGCCTTTCATCTAAGTCACATTTGTCCTTTGAAACAGCCTTGGGCAATAAAAATGTGGTAGGACCCCATGTCATAGGCAAATAAACCGAAAGCTCAGAGATTAAATGTCAGGGACTTTTGCTCAAAGACTGCAAGGTAAGTGAAGGAATCAAAAGTTTCTAATTCAGATAAGACAGTGCTTAACAAAAAAATGTGGTAATAAGCAATGAAGCATTATTTAAATGTAAAGCATGATTGTGCGTGTGCTATGTGCTCTTCAAATCCCTTGTCAAATGACAGGTGTCTAGCAGTCTTCTGCTTTCTGAAAGATAGCCAAACCCAACAGATCACTGGTTATAAATGTCCATTGAGTGTACATGACACGTGAGCTCCCCCATTTCTGAGATACCTGTCATCACTACGGTGATATTTGGTTTCCACATTTGCTTTAACTCATCTGCCAACACTGCAGTCTTAGTTTGTTTATTGGGCTTTGTTCTTTTTCAACTGCAGGTTTCCTTTAGGATCCTCTGTGGTTTTCTTCAGTGGAGTCTAAAGCTTTCCTTACTCAGAGTTCCACCAAAAAAATAAATAAATAAAATAATAATAATAATTAACAATAATACTAAAAAGTGGGCTTCAGTGCCTAGCTCCCTATATGTACAGTGTTAGAGAAGCAGACTGCTTAAAATCCTGGCCTGGATCAAATAACCCTATTAAAATAACCCTTGTTTTAATATTCTTCATAGTGATTTTTTAAGTATTCCTTACTTTTAGTTGGAGCTTAATTCCTACTTAGCAAAAGTTAGCGCATAGTCTTAGAAATCATGTTTGACTTTTATGCGGGAATGTTGGTATTAAGCAAAAGAAAAAGAGTATATTTTTTAAGAGAAGGTAGCCTAATTGCCTAGATTTGAAATTCCTCGTGCTGTCATGCCTCTACTTCTTTTCGGAGTCCTTCCCCCCCCACCCAAATAAAACTCACCGTCACCCCCAGCAAAATTGTGGCATTCCAGTGCTTCTACATAAAGTAACTTTCAGGAGGCACAGAAATAGGCTTTCATTCAATAGAATTAAAATTGGTTTCTACGCTTCTTGGTTTCTTTAACTGGTGGCAGAGGTGTTCTTTCCAAACCCACCTTGTGCCTCCTGGGGTTCCTAGTGGAATGTGAAATTAACATGCCACTTGTCCATTTCAAAATCAAATTTCTCAGGAAGAGTCACAGTTTTCAAAATAGGAAGGGCTGGGCCGATTGATAGGACAAGATTGCCCCCCCCCCAAGTGAAACACTCAAGCGTTGGTCAGTCTAACAATTAGCCCTCTCCAGCCCCGGTGCCCCCCAGTAACAGGGACTCTGAGACTATGGCTCTGCTACACCCTCCTTGACAAATTTCCCTGAATTAGACTGGAAAGGGGTTTTGTCGCATCAGGTTCCTATTCTGGCCTGTGGTTACCCTGGGCATGAGATCTTGCCCCTTCAGGGACGGAGGAGAATCAGCCTGAGTCTGTCTCTCCTTGAGAGCCCTGCTGAAGAATCAACACATCCTCAGTGGCCTTTCTGAAAGGACAGGTGGGTTGCCCCAGATACAAAGTACCGTGGGGGTAGGCCAGGGAGCCTCTGAATGCGGAAGAGGAGGGGCGTTTCCAGAAGAATCAGAGGTAGACGTGTCATTTTTCCGTGACTC